CTTTCTCTCTCTCTCTCTCTCGCTTTCTCTCTCTCTCTCTCTCTCTCTCTCTCGCTTTCTCTCTCTCTCTCTCTCTCTCGCTTTCTCTCTCTCTCTCTCTCTCTCTCTCTCTCGCTTTCTCTCGCTCTCGCTCTCGCCCTCTCTCTCTCTCTCTCTCGGCTTTCTCTCTCTCTCTCTCTCGCTTTCTCTCTCTCTCTCTCTCTCTCTCTCTCGCTTTCTCTCTCTCTCTCTCGCTTTCTCTCTCTCTCTCTCTCTCTCTCTCTCTCTCTCTTTTAACTAAATCTAATGATGTTTGTAAAAAAAAAAAAAAAAACATTCAATGAACTTTGCCACAAGATTATTACCAAGTCAGTCAGATTTATTGTTTTCAAGAGGGATCTAAGAGAGAAGAAATGGTGAACTGTGGATGGCAATCAAGGCAAAGTTATTACAGTGATATAATCCAGGCATGAGTACAACATATTAGTTAAATTTTGAATTATAGAAGCATATATGTAAAATATATGGATGGTGAGAGTTACCGAAACTTGAATTTTTCGCATTTAATTCCTGGATGTGGTTGGTTACCTATGTATTTATCGCATCTATGACCAACGGTAACATCCACAGGTTACATTTTTTGCTGGAAACTCTTTATAAAGACCATACATAATACCAATTTTCAAAATTCCATAGGGTGTTATTGTGGACTATTATCAGCATAGATTAATCTACATTTCACTTGTTTTTTTGAAATAAAAAAATCCACCTCTTACATGCCTTTCGTATTGAAGTACTTCTAACAGTGGAAATGACCAATGGCCTGGGCCACTATGGATACAACCTGGGACAGAGGGCTTTTGTATTGGAAACAATACAAAATAGTATATTGCCAGGGAGTCATGATGAAAAGCATATTTCATGCGTAAATGTAAGCAAAACATATATTTTTAAAGAAAAATCTCACTAGATATTTCATTATGAATCATTGTGATTTGCATTTTTTCTGAGATTTGTATAAAAGTATTCTTAGGACATGCACAAATTCATATATATGGTTCTAATTACCAGCATATATAGTTTACATGCTGGTGCTTATATGCTTGCTCCTCCCAAGAAATAGCCTAAGTTGGACTCTAACAATTGTTTGGTAGTTCCCTCATTCATGTATATGTACCATAAGCTCACTAACTCAAAATTACCCTCTATACTTAAACATTTACAGATACTTGGACCGTTCCTACTGGGAACAGCAGTCGCAACAAAAGCAAACTTTTCAACAAAAGCAGGACCAGGGAGTGAGTGATTTGGGTAGCACTCTGTCACCCACACAACCATCAGCACCCATTAACGCTGCCAAGTCCTCACTCTCTCCAACCAAACTTTCTCAAGTCAAGATGACAGAAGTAGGTTGCCTGGTCTGCTTTTTATTATTTCCGTTACAGTTATTCTTTGTCAGATTCTTCTCGGTATTCTGCTTTATATGTCACTACAGTCAGATGTAAGATTATTTAGTTTCTGTATGTCAAGGATTTATGAACTATTCAGAGATAGTGCAAAGGATCAATAGTTGTATTGATAAGATAGGTCATGTGTGAACATAATCAAAATCATCTGTATACTTCTGATAGGCTAGTCTGAGTAGATGTTTCTTTTTATTTACAGAATTACCAGAATGGAGAGACAGAGGAAGTGGATGAGTTTGTGACAACCCTCCGCACGCAGTTAGAAATATTTGTGAATCGCATGAAGAGCAATCAGTGTCGAGGACGTCCCATTGCTAATGATTCATCTGTTCAAACTCTGTTCATGAACATCACAGCAATGCATGCTCAACTCTTGAAATACATTCATCAACAAGATGACAAGAGAGGTGCGAAGTAATTTTGTTGGGAAGCTCGTTTCAAAGTGATGGATTGTAACATATGGAGTGTTTTATTGCTATTGCCAGGGTTACTATTTCTTAAACAACTAACAGTAGGCTCCCATGACTCTTTAACCCATTGAATCTGGATGCTTCACTGCCATCGCGTGGCGCAAAATACATGCAGATAATCTCACACCTTGTGTGGTGACAGGGACCCTGTGCATTTTCTCTTTTTCTGCATTAGTGTTTTTAGCTGTTATGCCTTTTTCCAGAATCTATATTTATCATTTGATTTGCTTTATCCAAATAGTAATAGGTTGTTTTCATTGCACAGACTCCATATCATCTCTCTAGGTTATCCATAACTGTGCAATGATAATAAGGATAAATAATATTTGTCTTTTTTTATGATATTCAGTTTTCTGTAATATAACCTGCTCTGCCTGTCATGGTGAGCAGAAATAGGATCCTGAGTATGGAAAGAGCATCCTTCTAGGAGCCGGCACTCTTCCAGTCATGGCTTGTGGACTTGCTTTCCACACTCATTTATTGATGGAAATAATGAAAAAAATCTCCTTCATAAATGCCAAATGAGACTAATTACCCTCCTAGAGGTTTGTGCACTTGTGGCAAGTCCTTCTGATTACCCCAGCCTTTCGCCAAAATGCTCACAATGGCAAGTTCGCATTAGCCCTGGCTGATAGCCAAAGTTTCCCATGGTGGCATGTTCACATCACCCGCCCCTCAAGCCAAATTTTTTCATGATGTGGTGGTCACATCATCCAGATTTTAGGGGTTAAAGAATGTATATGATTTTTTTCCTAGCCACATTAAGTATCTCATTACACCACTCTGTGTACTTTCAGTAAACTGTGAACGTCTTCAAGACAAAATTTCACAGGTGAGGGACGCCCGAGCTGCACTTGAAGCCCTGAGGGAAGAACATCGTGAACGGGTGAGACGAGAGAAGGAGGAACAAGAGCGCTTGAGGTGAGGCAGCAATGAGGAATAGGAAGGAATAAGAAAATTTTGATAGTTGTATATAGGATTTTTTCCTTTTCTTTTCCTATTATTGTAGTATGCTGTATTGCTGTTTGGAAGGACAAAGATTGATGTTAACTGCTTTTTGTCCTTGAAATTTTTATTTTTTATTTTTTACAGTTTAGGTTTGAAAGTCACCATAATTTTTCATTAGTATGTTTTCTTTGTTAGTGTTCATGATTTTGATTTAATCCCTAGTTAATTTAATCTTGGAGGATAGTGATATTTAAAAGAAAAGAAATATTATTTACTTCTTATATTATTCTTCATATGTTCAGGCAAGTTCAGATGATGCAGAAGCTAGAAATCATGAGGAAGAAGAAGCAGGAATATTTAGAGTATCAGCGGCAACTTGCACTTCATCGAATGGCAGAGAGTGAAAGGGAGATGTTCAACAAGGGATCTGTGATGGGACCACCCCCCACCTCCATGTACCCAATGGGTTACCCTGCATACCCTGGTGTGGCTGGGCCCATGCCGAGCCAGCCACCATTACCAGGGCACATGTATCAAGGTCAACCTGAGTCAGGACCTCCCCAGGTAAAGCCTTTGGTGATTTGGTGTTTATATATTGTGTTGGAAACATCAATTAAGTTGTCAATAATGTGATAAGATTATAATTTATTTGACCTGTTTCATTAAAAAAAATTCAGGGAGGTGTACCACAAGGCGGAATGCCTCAGACTGGAGTCCCGCCAGGTGGTGTACCACAAGGTGGAGCTCCACCAAACTCTATGTCATATCCTGGAGGACCAGGACAAGGCCAATACCAGCATCCTCCTCCGGGTGGCCACCCAGGTCCAGTGATGGGAGGGGGTCAGGCTGGGCCTCCACCTGTGACTCAGCCAGGATACCAACAACCGCCACATGAATTCTCCCCGTATAACATGCAGGGTAAGTTAGTACACAGAGGAAAATACCTCTTGTGTTTGAATTTCTTTTTAAATTTGGATCAAATGAAAGTGCTCCTCATTGTTTTTAGTATACATTTATTTCTCTTGTCAGAGTAACAAATAGAGTAAAGGCAAAACAAAAGGTTATAAATATGTATGCTTCAAGCCTAAGTTTTGTATTGGATTGTTCATTTAAGTGGTCTTTATTTCTATAATGGAGGTTACCTCCCATTTTAAGTAAAATGTCTGTACAGTGCAGGCAAAGTAAATATCCCAGTTGATGCCAGATACCTGATAACTTTATAGAAAAGAGTGGATATTCATACTCCCCCTTCCTTTTTTTTCATTGTTTTTACTTAAGATATTTGTTATTTGCCAGTTTTATGTTTATAGATAGAATGCCTAAGTTCTTATATTTTATTTACTTATTGTTATTATTATTATTATTATTATTATTATTATTTATTATTTTTTTTTTTTTCAATATAGTGTTTGTGATGACCATAGTCTCATGAATATTTAATGATTTTTCTTTTGTGAACTATTTTTTTCCCTGTCTTGAATAAAGTGATGTATCACTTTGTATTGAGTAATAATGATCATAAAAATTTCAGGAATGGCAAACAGTCTGCCAAATATTAGTGGTGGAATGCCAGGCTACCCTCCCCAGCAGCAACCTGGGCCAGGCATGGCTCCTCCGCAGATTGGCGGTCAGCATCCCATTGCTGGGCCCGGACAGCAGCCGCAGGGCGTGATGCCCATGCAAGGTGATATGAGTGGAGGAGCACCACAGATTCCCCCGCAGACCCAGCCACCCCCAACAACACAGGAGCAGCAGGCTGAGCTCATCTCATTTGACTGAGAGAGGACGGAGTCTTTTAATGCTAGAAGAGGAGATGATGGAACTTAGTCAGCTTTTTCCAGCTTCTTTTCTCTGAGGTCTTTGTCACACATTCTTATACACATCAGTGGAAGAGATTTCCCTTTATTAGGAAAGTAAATATACTTCATTTTGATGTTAGTAATTAAAAAGGAAACAAAAATAAACTGGTCTTACTGAAATCATAAGCATTCTGTTAAATTCCTGAAATATTTGGCCTGGTGACCAGTTGCAATTATTTTTGGTTTTCATTCAGTTCTTTTTGTTTGTTTCATTTTGTGTTATTATTATTTTTTATTAATAGTCATTCATGATTATAATTCTATTAAGTCTCTGAAATAATAACTGGGAAGTGAATATTCTTCAACTTAGAATTATTTACATGCACAGTGCTGCTAAAAACTCTTGCCCCTCCTAGTTGCACATTGTTTTGAAGTATAACAGAAAACTGCAAACTTTGCTCGACTAGCTAGTAGTTTAGGTGCAGTTGTCTAGTCTCCAAAGGAATTTACACTCTTGCTGTTAGTGATTTGCACCAAAGATATTACCTTATTCATTATTGCTTAGTTATTTTGACAACTGATTGATATATAGTTTACTCTGAAAAAAATGTATTTGTCTATCAGCATTTGGCAGCTCTTGATATTTATTAACTCTGTATGAGCATTCAATCAAATAATAATGCAGATTTTTTGTGTTAATTTCCCCCCTTTTTTTTACTATTTTCACAAAGTAATATACTCCAGTAAAATTAAGCCAAGATCCTTTCCTCATGTTAATGTTTTCTTGCGTTCTGTCTGAAATATAAAGCCAAATAACTAGTATATTTTTAGCAAAGCTCTTGATATCAAAATTATCATAACTTCCTGCCAAGTGTTTTAGAAACTCCCATCACATCCCAGAAATGATTAATAAATGTAAATGGTGAATTGCTGACCATAAATTCAGTAAGAGTTTTTACCAGCACTGTATTCATGATTTGAGTTCCTGTATATATAGAGTAATGGCTTAAATAATTTGAATAAATAATTAATATAAATGACATTTGCCAGTGATTTATCCTGTGTTAGTATTGAAATATAGAAATTTTATATATCCTATGTATGTTATTGTTTTTATATTCTTTGCAAATATTACAGACTTATGTATCAGTTAATGTTGATGTGTTATACCAATATTGCTACTCAAGGTATATACACAAGCAGTTTCAGTCAACGCAGGTAAAATGTTTACAAAGCCTTATATAGCTTTTTGATAATCTGATTGTTCAGTTATCCTTCGGCAACCTTATATGTTATTAAGATTTAACTTTTTACTCATGCTCTAATATATGTGAGTTTCATCACCCTTGATATGTACATACAGTGGATACTGTATAGTTACAGTGGATACTTTATGCTACAAGATTTCTTTGAAATAAAAGTCTGAAAAGATTTGTCCCAGTTTTTAGTTATTTAGTGATTTCCTCAAATTTTATTATTAAAAAGGCTGTGCATCAAATTCAAAATTATAATTAAGTAAACACCCCTTAACCTATTGTGGCCAGGTACATGTACAGTCACTTCAAAGAAAATTTGGACCTAGCCCATTATGATCCAATGTGCCAGAAAGGAGATAAGTTGATACCCTGTTGATTCATCCCAAATTTACTAACATGTAGAGTTCAGCTTCACTTACCTTGTATTTTTTATATACTGATCAGATATGGAGGACAAAGGAGGAAAAGGCTCTCTTTTTAGACTGGAGGAAAGGAAAAGTATGTGTTAAGGAAATATATAAGCATACAGGCAGGGCAAAGACAACAATAATGTTGCTGATTGCTGCATTGTGCATTTCACCACCCGATGTTCCTCCAACAAAATCTTATCCTGGAAGGCTACTGATAAGCTTCTTGCTTGATATATATATTATAACCCTCATCTGACAGCTCTCCTAAAAGAAATTCATCCAAGCAGCTGCTGTATTCAACACCAGCTACAGAAAGACCTCCAGCTGTTCACCAGCTTTGCTTCATGCAAACCACTACTAACAGAGCATATATCTACTGGACATCTGAATAACGGCAGAAGGTAATGTGGTCAGATGAATCCACATTCAGATGTATTCAAGGTCGTTCTACTAGAGTAAGACAGCCATCATCAGTGAGCAGATTCAACCTGGCTTACACAATTCACACTGGGATGCACGCCGAATCGGTCATGATATGGGGATGTTTCAGTGGTTTCAGAGGACAGGGAGGTCTGTATTTCCTCCCCAAAAATGAAATAATAAATTCTGATGACTACGTTCAGGTTTTTGAAGACCATCTGCTCTCATATGAGTGTCTCAGCTGCACCATCTTCATGCATGATGGTGCCCAAGTCAAGGCCAAGAAAGTTACTAACTTACTAACCACAATATTGAAGTGTTACTGTGGCCTGGCAATAGTCCTCATCCCAATTGACAATTAATGGAATCTAAGGAAAAAGAAGCTCCAGCCTTGCAGCACATTGTCCATCACATGCATAACAAGAAATCACCAAAATCTTGGGAACTAAGATGTGACTGCAGTGAAAAAATGAGTGGATAGCATGCCTGAACAACTCACTCATTCTGAAATTAAAAGGGAATATGACAAAATACAAGTCACTGTATTCTAGCATATTTGTATTTCTTTAACTCTTATTTCACTCTATCAAATGTACAGCAGGTCCCATTTCTTTTTGTGGTGACTGAACTGTCCACTGTATTTTTGGTTTGATTTTTTTTTTAAAGATGGCTCCAGAAGCACTTGGTCACTAAGGATATCCCTGGTTTCTCCATTCTTGTATTTTGGAAACTTTTTTGCTTTCAAATCCTATTAATATTGTTATTGTAATTAGTAGTAGTATTTTGACATTATGATTATGTGAATATTATTACCAATACTAATAGCAATAAAGATAAAATCAAGTTTTCCAAAAATCAAGGAAAAGGTTAAACAGGTGAGATCAGGTAAGACTTCACAGTGTCTAAGCTCTTGAGAAGTCATCTAAGTATAAACAAAATTAATTTATGAAAACACTGTGGACAAGGCATGCATACCAACACAAGTGGATTAATAGTAGAAGAAATTATTGTCATAATAGTACTGAAAACTCTCCTCAGATGCTGCAGTAATGAAAATTCCAACATAATATCATATACACTACAGAGTTTGTGAAGGTAGAATCTGATGAACAGATGCTTCCATAATATGGCATGGTGAATAATATTCAATATATGTTACAAACAAAGAAGCATAACATGCATATCATACATGCTTATCTAAATGGATATATGTATTCTAGTTACCCTAGTGTTTTTATTCACATTGTAAAGCATATTGCTTTAATAGATAAATGATTACATGTATGTATCTGTCTGTATATATGAACAGTACCAACACAAATACAACAGAAACAAACATACATACCATATATGCACATAGTTGCAATCATAGTTTATACTTGAGATCTCACAGCAAATGGAAAGTCTAGATAAAACGTCTGTTGATGGTGGTTCTTAAAAAGTTTTGGTGAAAGAAGTGGGAGAAAGATTTACTTTTGTGATACTCTGGTACTATGATTACAAGAACATTGTATGTGAATAAGGAAACCATATACTATTTCCTGGTAGTGAAAAAGAGTATATTTATGACTTGAGTATGTGCAGGTAGAACTATGTGCCGGGACATTCTTTTCTGCTAACCGTTATATTGTATTAGTGTTATAATAGGGTTATGCATATCTAGCAAACAGTACTCAAAGCATTGTACAATAAATGAGACTTTGTCATTATAAAATATATATATATATATATATATATATATATATATATATATATATATATATATATATATATATATATATATTAATACTATTGTTCCTGTTGTAAAACTACAATAAAGCTACTTATGATTTTTTTTTTAAAGATGGCTCCAGAAGCACTTGGTCACTAAGGATATCCCTGGTTTCTCCATTCTTGTATTTTGGAAACTTTTTTGCTTTCAAATCCTATTAATATTGTTATTGTAATTAGTAGTAGTATTTTGACATTATGATTATGTGAATATTATTACCAATACTAATAGCAATAAAGATAAAATCAAGTTTTCCAAAAATCAAGGAAAAGGTTAAACAGGTGAGATCAGGTAAGACTTCACAGTGTCTAAGCTCTTGAGAAGTCATCTAAGTATAAACAAAATTAATTTATGAAAACACTGTGGACAAGGCATGCATACCAACACAAGTGGATTAATAGTAGAAGAAATTAGTGTCATAATAGTACTGAAAACTCTCCTCAGATGCTGCAGTAATGAAAATTCCAACATAATATCATATACACTACAGAGTTTGTGAAGGTAGAATCTGATGAACAGATGCTTCCATAATATGGCATGGTGAATAATATTCAATATATGTTACAAACAAAGAAGCATAACATGCATATCATACATGCTTATCTAAATGGATATATGTATTCTAGTTACCCTAGTGTTTTTATTCACATTGTAAAGCATATTGCTTTAATAGATAAATGATTACATGTATGTATCTGTCTGTATATATGAACAGTACCAACACAAATACAACAGAAACAAACATACATACCATATATGCACATAGTTGCATCATAGTTTATAACTTGAGATCTCACAGCAAAAGGAAGTCTAGATAAAACTTCTGTTGAAGGTGTTCTTAAAAGTTTTGGTGAAAGAGGTTGAGAAAGATTTACTTTGTGATACTCTGGTAATATGGATTACAAGAACATTGTATGTGTAATAATGGAAACCATATACTTTTTCCTGGTAGTGAAAATGATTATATTTATGACTGGAGTAAGCAGTAGACTATGTGCCGGGACATTCTTTTCTGCTAACCGTTATATTGTTTTATTGTTTATAGGTTTGCATAGCTAGCAAACAGTACTCAAGAAGCAATGTACAATAAATGAGAATCTTTGTACCATTATAAATGCAAATATATTCCCTTCTGTAAACCTGTTTTTTGGTCTACTTATTTACTGATAGTATTTTGAATTTATAACCTCAACCAAATTAAGTAGTGGTATATATATATATATTAATACTATTGTTCCTGTTGTAAAACTACAATAAAGCTACTTATGAATTTTTTTTTTTTTTTCAATTTAGAGAGAGAGAGCAAGAGAGACAGTCAGAGAAAGGATAAGAAAAGGAGAAAGAAAGAAAAAGGGAAAAAGAAGAATAAATAAAAAGAAAAGGCAATTTTAAGCATACAAGAAAAATATTAATGTCTGTAATCATCTTGATGTCAGTTGCTAACATGGAGTTCAATCTTCCCCAACACTTCCATACTGATGCATTCAGTCAGAATATAGAGAAAGGATGGTTTCTTTTATTTTGTTTCTCTTACTTCCTTGTGTTATAGGGATTATACGTAATTTTGCCCAAGGAATTCCAGCAAATTAATCCCTTTATTTGCTGATAAATATGGGCAAGAAAATACATAAAATGCATTAGAGAGAGAGAAAAAAAAAATTCCCTTTTTTCTTTGAACTGACATGCTTTGTTTGGACGGCTTCTGGTAAATACACTTTGAACTAAAATGTTTCCTTAACAAATAATGCCTTTCCAAGTTAATGAGATAGCCTGATTGCAGCCTTGACAGATAGACATTGATTTTCTTCTGCCTTTTAAACATACCAATCCACTTCCTGTTTGGCTTTCCCTAAATATATAACCTGGGTACCTTGGCACAGTGAAAGGTCGGAGACATGTCATCTACAACCTGTTTGATTTTAGGGGAAATTAGTAACTGGAAACTAGACCATTGTTCAGTTATACAAACTAAACTTTACACTGAAACAATGCTTATATTCTTTCTCTAAATCTTCTCTGCTAGCAACAACAGTCTGTAGGCCTTGTGCAAATACTAGAGCCTGTGAAATTATGCAAGTGGTACATTTCAGAACCAGTATACAAAACCTACACCTACTTAACCTTCCTCAAGTGCACTGCTCTTGGATGAGCAGCTGCAAATTTTATTTTATTAACTGAAAAATTTCTGACCTGCCAGTATCTGAGTTCGGATGCGGCACATTCAAAATATAGCGATAGGGTGGGGCTTGAGAGCAAAGCCCCCAGATACAAAGGTTTCTGGTTCACAAGGTGATGTTTGTGGGCTTCCAAAATGGTCAATGGTCTAAACAGAGGTACCAGACATCAGAGGTCACACAGCATTATGACAAAGTATTGTGGCATAAAGTATAAAGATGAGTTAAGGAATAGGATAAGTGGACAGAAGAAGGGATGAAGAAGAGAAGGAAAAGGAAAAGAGGAGAAAAGACTATGCAAAATTGGTTCAGGTGAGGGCTGAGGTTGAGGTCCAAGGCAGGGGTGAGCTTTACATTGGCCCTCAGTCTCTGCCTCCTAAGCACCCCCACAGCAACAACAAA